TTGCGAAGTAGGAAAGTACAGCCTGCAGTTCATGTCACCCACTACAGGGAGTGTGCTTAGCTTTCACCAGAACTTTGGAGGTCCAGCTTGTAGAACCTTAATTATATGTAACCTATAGGAAAACTCCCCGATAAACCCTTCCTACAAATCTGATGTGTCTACAGCTCAGGTCGGAAAATTCCGGCGAGTCCCAGGATTCTGGCTTCGAGGGCCTGCGAAGGCAGGCTCGAGTCCGAGCCCTTACCGACGAAGAGAAAAGCCGCATCGCAGCCTACGAGAAACCTTCCGACATGCCCTACGAAGAGCGGAAGAGACAGCTTGTGGCTCTTGACCGAAGAGTCAAGAGCGACCCCGAAAGCCTACCACCAGGAATCCTAGCCATGTACAACGATGCATACGGCAGCTCTGCCAAGAAATTCGAACTGATGTCGTGGCCTCGGACGAATGCATTTCTTGTATTGTATAGCTGCACTCGCCCGCTTAATCACACAAGCTATCCGTGCTAATCAAGGAAGCATTTCATCTTGGACCCTTCGTTCCAGTCAATGACCGTGGACGCACGATTCCTCGAGAGACACAGCAAGGACTGCATTCATGGACCGAGTTTCTTCCTAGGCCATCTTAGAACCGATTCGCCAGGACAAGGAGGGGGTGTACGAAGAGTTGCCTCTCTTCGAGCTCGAGAAGATCTATTGCACGGAAGAGCAGCGCAAGTGGCTCAAGGAAAAAATCGTTGACTGTCGTATCCTCAGCTACAGATCTAATCCATCAACCCAGCTACACTCGCAATATGCTCGAGGTCAGGAGGGGAAAGAGCACCCCCAGGACGCGGTATTTTCTTGTGCCCTGATCAGTGTGCTTCTTAAGTCGCTGTCAATGCAAACTACGTAGCTACGATTTTTCTTCATGGCTTTGTCGTTGAACAACTTAAACCTTATGGGCAGAGGCCACCGAGGCTATGCAATATTTCGATCTCCGGGATTCATGGTTGTAATTTCAGTTCCCGTTCCAGCTTAGTACAACCCGGAACCCTTCGAAGTCTTATTTGACCTCTAACACTATATAAGCCCAAGTTTATGTTCCTTGGACCCCTCGAAATGTTCTCCACGTTCCAACAGTAGAAGTACACACTTGAAAGCCTTTCCAAAGGCTAGCCCTTTAGAAGCTTCGCCAGGACCCTTTGAACCCACGGGCCCGGATCTACAAGCACTACAAGAAGGGCGTCGAGAAGACGAAATCCTCCCAGGAGGTTGCCAACGAGACCAAATGCAAGGCCGACATTGGTGGCGGCCAAGCAGGGCTTGCAGCCAGGCAGCTCCTCTCGGAGACCTTGGTGGCTGCCGGTGCCAGCTTCGGTGATGCGACCTCGGCGACCGGTGCGAAGGGAAAAGGCAAGAACAAGAGAAAAGGTGGCGAGAAGGGCCCACGGCAGGCCAGATCGAGAATCTCATTTATGGACGCCTTATAAAGCCCAAACCCTAAACTAAAACCTCAATCCTGAAGCTGCAACCTAAACCTCTACATTCTCCATCGGCAAACTGAACTAGAGGTCTCGGAGGAAGAGCAAACCAGAAAAGAATTGAAAAAGGATATTGATGCTATGGGAGCTCTGGTGAGCTCCGTCCGAGCCGCCTCTATGTCGTTGAGCACGCTGCCTCACAATGCCGAGCTGTTGGCTCAGCTGAAAGAAGGAATGGTGAAGATAAAGCAGCATCAGGAATACGTGGAGAATTTGATCTTTAGTGGGAAGCGACTTGTCAAAAGTAATCAGGAAATCAGAACACGTTCCAATGAGTTTCATCTATGAGCTGAACTAGATCATGTATGTACGAGGTCGGCCGAGGAGGTGGGCGAGTACATCACCAAGAACAAGGGTGATTTTGAGGTCCGATCCCCAACAAGTAGCTTTCGATTGAGCTTGTTCCCTTGGAACTGAAAATTCGCAGTTGCTTACTTTCGAGGGCTTCCTTGCTCAAAACCAATCTTAAGAGCCAGGCCTGCCAGCGCGATGTGGACCACGCCCAGACCATCATGGAGACTGTTCGCCGCAGCCGGGTTCCTGGGACATCGGTGCAGTGCAATAAAAGTAAGTATACGTAGCAAAATTGACCCTTGCATGCCAGAAGAAGAAAAAGCAAAGCGAGACGTTGAGAAGGCCATCAGAAAGCAGCAAGAAAAGGAGAAGAAGGAGGAGGAAGAAGCCCAAAAGAGACAGGCTTGGCAAGACCTCGAGGAAGCACAGCCGAAACGACGTCGCACCACAAAGGGGCCTGAGGCGTGATCGAGCCTTGTACTTAGCTAGTGGGATATCTTAAGCTCCGAGATCTTCTATATCCGATAGATCTAGCGACAATACTACGTGCAGCTCACGCCGGCCCGAACTTTTGCTATCTTGGATTCGTGTATCGGCACAACAACTACCGTGCCTCCAACCACTTGTGATTGCCCGGCAATCGATCTCCTTAGAGGACGAGCTCGACATAGCTCGACCCTTGCTGTATATAGGGTGACTACCTAAAACTTATCATCGTTGTGTCGGGCATATATTTGGTACATGTTCGGTGTGACGTGATGATCCACGACTGTGCGGCGAGGGTCTAGAGTCGAAAGGTCCATGGGGTCAGTGTGTTGTGCTACAGCCCATTTGCAGACGAACTCTGTAGGCCGTTGGTATAGGTACACTAGTTATTCGTTATCCGAGTTGGAATGAATTCCGCATGTTTGACCATATGAAGTGATCTGCAAATGAGCTGTATGCTTGCGACCAGCTGCCGGGTGCGAGAAGCCAGATGTACCGCATCGATCAGTGCTGCCGGGGTGCGAAAATCCAAAGTGCTGCATCGATCTTGGAATCACCTGAGCACGCATCGTACCGATATCATGATCCCAATTACATCATATGCTGCCAGATCGATCCAACGGCGGCCGTGAGCGGTGTGATGCGAGAGCTCTTCAAGATGATCGGTGAGGGCCAGGCTGGAATCGTCGTTCGACGTCTATCGCTAGATGTATAGAATTGGCACAGGTTGACATCAAAAAGTTCAAAGACATAGTATGCCAGAGCCCCAAGAAATCTTGGATTGTACAGCAACAGATTGATGTTCATCAGATTCGGCCGGGTACAAGGTCGGCTCGAGCAACTCCCGGCGCAGCTCGTCCCGCTGCGACCTCATTTTCAACCCAGGTGCTCATTCTTTCAGAGGGGCTTTGCACTAGAATGCCAGGGATGAAATCCTCGACCTAGCCGTCAGCTTCCGTGGGAACCAGACATCGTGGGGCTTTGATCGTGTGCTGACGAGATGGTCCGTGAAACAGAAATGGCGCCAATCTTTGCCGTTGCCCTATGTGTTCGAACTTCCATGTGTCAGAATCTCACTTGCTTGAATATATTGCCTGGTCTATGTGTCATTGTTGTGTCCATTCCGTGCTGCTGGCCCATGAACCTACTGAACCTAAGGATCACATGGACCGGATGGGCAAGGAACGTGCAACTTTGAAACATTCTGCTCTGCTGCCCCACGAAATTGTCGGGGCGATCTACGATTTCGGATCTGGCTACTTCGAGCGTCTCCTCACCGGTGGGGACGAGGTACCCGGACCCTCAACATAGAGCAATAATATTTTGCTTAGAATCGGATCATTCTGAAACCGTGCATTTGAAATCGTATGTACGTCCGAAGTTCCTCAAACCCCATTTATGTGGAATTAACAAAAGCTTTGTGCTGATAATCTTGCGGAAGCCCTGCCGACGAGGCACTTGCAGAGCACTGGCGACGCGAGCGCATCATAGATCCTGCTTTCGTGGCCGAGATCGAACGAAAGGGGTTGGATCCAAAGCTGTGTATTCCTCTGAGAATCTATGGGGATGGTGCTACAGCACACCGATCCTTGCTTGAGTCCGTGACGTGCTTCTATTTGTTCTTGGGCTCTTCGGATCGAGGGGGTTAAGGGCGGGTATTATCCATGCTCAATAGCCACCAATAACTGATCAGCATCGGGCCGTAAATGATCTGAGGCCATTCATCTTTTGAGATCTTTGCACTTTCGCCACCGTTGGCCCCTGCTTCTACATTGTTCAGCCGGTTACTGGTGAGCTGTGCCAATTCTACGATGTGCGATGATGCATGCCGTCGGGAAATCATGGAGGTGATTGCTTGGAGCTTCGGCCATCTATGTTTCACAGAATAGAATTCGGAGATTGTCATGCAATTTCATTTAGATTATAAACATAATTATTGTTGTTCTAGTATTTAGATTCTCAAGATCTGAGGTTCCGGAATTTATCCAGCCACCGACCACAAAGGCCAAGCTTTAGGTTCCAAGCGAGCCTCAAAGGCAGGCCAGCGCATCGCTGGGCCATACACTGCGATCCTGGATGGTTTCGAGGGGGATCAAGACTTCATGAGGTTGATTTTCCTGCTGACACGCCGGATGCTTAGGATCCGGGAGCATCGAGTCGATGGTAAATCATTAAAGGTTTGCATGCCTTGTTTGAGTGCCAACTTTTTGAGCTAAGGCACTGCATCCTCCAGACAAGTATGCTACTATTGCAGGGTTCTGGGGTGGCAATACAGTATTTCTATGTCTATGTCTAGTTTTTTATTCAGAAACTGGCATGATCTGAAATCCCAATTCACATGTGTTATCGGTCCTCGAGGCCATAGCCTACCCCAGCACGGCTGAAGATGCCGACGAGGAAGCCAAAGATCCTGAGATGCTGTTCAGTGTTTTTGGTCGGCATGCGAAGCACAGAGCTACGACACATAGCTGCAAGTAGTACCAAAGTGACGGTTTAAAGTTTTGTACGGAATGTATACGCACAAACGAATCAGGCTAACAAGCCTCGACGAGTTCTTGGAAGCGCATGGCGCGACCCCGCTTACCACAATTCCATTCTTCAGCAACCACCGTGTCTTGCAGCAATCAAGCAGCTTTACATGTTGACCTGCGTATGATACTTCATAATTTTGCAACCAGATTGAGGCATTTTTCCGGACCCCATGCATATCATTGACCTGGCCACCATCCCCGACTTGGCCATTGCCTTGTTACTTGACTGGACGGACACAAACCGCTTGATCGACCTCCCGAGCCGTCCTGCCAGGCTTGAGTGGATTGGCAAAGCTTACAGGGATTGGGTCGGGAACGATTCAGATAGAGTGAATGCAAAGTTTTTCAGCTCAGAAATCCTGAAGCCTGGGGGAACCTCCTACACATCAGTTTCGCAGCACTATATATCTGCCGCAGCAGCCCGTGGCTTCCTTATTTTCCTGGAGAAGCTGGCACGGCAGTTTGCAGAAGACCACGGCTCCGAGGATGACTTGTAGCTCGGATGGATCAGGGGTTTTTTGAGGTTAACAATACGAGACTATATATACTGGTTTGAATCAACCAAATCAACTTGGAGCATGAAGCTCCTCTATTCGAGTGAGGCTCCGAGCTGGGTTGTGCGGGGGCTTGCAGCAGCTTCAACACATCATGATGAGCAATGGGAAGTTGCTGGGCGGGGATGCCAAGGAGAGCTGCGAACATTTTTATATCTTATTCAGGTCGGCCCTCAATCATCTGGCAGTGAAGGCCGAGGAAAGCAAACAGCTGAGATACCACCTACGCCCCAAAATCCATCATCTTGAACATCTCATCCTAGACCACTGCCGGCAAGGCCGGAATTACCGCTATGTTTCATGCTATTTGGGAGAGGACATGGTGAGGCTCATGAAACGGATGGCCCTGAGACTGCATCCGCTGGTCTGCGGCCAGCGTTCGGTTGAGCATTATGCCCTGCACGTGTGTTTGAAATGGGCCGGGTTGCTGGACGACTGAACATGCGGACGAGCGGCCGAGAAAAGATTCCGAGGATGGCCGCACCAGTTTGCAGCAGCTGATCGTTGCAATCCCTATATGTCAAACCCCAAGAGAAAGAAAGCACATATTAGCATGCATATATATACACGTGTGTGTGTATATGTGTAAGTATATGCGTATATATGCATAGGTTAATATGTTAATACATATATATATATATACATATATATATACATATATATATATATATATATACATATATATATATATATATATATATATATATATATGCATATGTGTCTAACATATACACACACGTGCAGCTATGATCTTCACCGAATCGATTTGCGATTTTGGCGTGAGAGATTATTTGAATCAAAACTTGTACATTTGTTTGATTCCGGTTGCTGAAACCCGACATATATTGAAGTATAATGTATGCACTGCTGTGCCCCATGAGTTTTTTGTTGGAATTCGCGTGACTTTCACAAGATTAATGCTCCAAGCGCGTGCTTTTCTTTTTTTCTATTTCTGCGAGATTGCGTTCGGTGCCCTTGCGGCCCGACCTGTTTTGAGCTTCGCCGACCTATCCGGCCACGTGGCGCTATGTGGCCGCGTGGCAGCGGCCACGTGTCATGACATGTGGCCGGTTGCCCCGTCCTGGAGTGGCCGACGCCTGTGCAGCCAATCGCTCCCGGCATGCCGTACAAGTAGTTATCCAGCTCCAAGCTGTGCTGCAGGCAGTGTCGCAACGGTAGACCTGCTAGATGCCAATTTCTGTTACTGTCAAATCCGCCCAGCAAACGCACCGTCTCTCCCAGTCAACGGACCAAGCTGGGACACCCACGCAAATCGAACTCCACAGCCAGGGTGCAGGACCTTGCAAGTCACCTCGCGCTCCCACTCTGCTGCCGGTCCTCGCAGCCCCGCCTCGGAGAAACGCCAAGGAGACACAGCCACTTCGAAGGGTCTTGCCATCGCTGGCCACCAGCTGCGAACCATTCTTCAGATTCCTTGCCCGGCGTCACAGCTGCGCGTCTTGAAGATGGCATCGGACATGAAGCAGTGCTGCTTCACCGACGCCACATCGTCACCGACATCATCCACCAGGCAGTATCCCAGCTCGGCAAGGTCCGGCTCATGGCCGCCTGAGAACATCTTCGGACTGGCAACTTCGCCACGGGAGTGGTGGCAAGACCTTCAGAAGGGGATCTTCCAGGTCCATCTCAAGATCGGCGACAAGGACTATGCCTTTGATCAGTGCCCCCTGGACCCCTGCATATTTATGCTGCGAGAGATGAAGGACCACCGTTTCATCGGCGAGCCCATAGGCTACTTGGGGACCCATGTTGATGACATTCTGGTCGTGGCCAGCGGCGCGGTCAGCGAGATGATCCGCAAGAGCCTCTCCTCCGCCTTCGCGATCGACCGGTGGGAAATTGGAGACTTCAGCTACGTGGGGTCCGAGATCTCTTGCAAGGAGAACGAGGTGACGGTCACCCAGACCAAGTACGTCGAGAGCCGGCTCTTTCTCCTCGAGATCCCTCGTCATCTATCTGACGAAGAGCCGGCAAGCTTCGAGTTGAAGACAGACAACCAAAGCCTCATTGGGGCTTTGAGCTGGCTCTCGGCCCAAACCCGGCCAGATTCGACGTGCAGTGTCAGTCTTGCACAGCAGCTACAGAAGAGTCCTACGGTTGGGGACGCCAGATTCACGAATCAGGTCTCCCAGCGGGCGACCATGTACAAGGACCGTGGGCTAACCTTCAAGCCCATCGACGAGGAGCACTTCGGGATCCTCGTCTACCATGATGCAGCATGGGCGAACGCGCTCGAGGCCGAGCACGACGAGCCCTACTTCGAGCTCACCCCGGAAGACCGAGAAGCTGGACTTCAGAAAGAGGGACCGTTCGCAGAGAAGGTTCGCAAGGCCAAGAGGGTCAACTCCAAAGTAGCTTCACAACTCGGCGGGCTCACCATGTTTGCTGACATGCGGAGTCTTACTGGAGTGCCAAGCAATGCCACGATCGGCGACTGGCGTTCCAAGGCCGGACAGAGAGTTTGCAGGAGCACCTTCGGAGCCGAGACACAAGCATGCGTGGAAGGAGGACAATACCTACGGTCCTTCTACGAGACAGTCAAGACCGGCGAGCTGGTCACCGTAGACCGAGCCCGCACTCCTTTGCTGTGCTTGAGCGATTGCCGCTCCCTCTACGACCACGTCCACAAGGAAGGGGTACCGAGAGTGCCCACGGACCGCAGGCTAGCCATAGATCTAGCCGCCCTTCGACAGAACCTGAGAGCAGAGCAGTGGAGCACGAAGCTTCCGCCCGGATGGGTCCCGAGCGGTCTCCAATATGGAGACATTTTGACTAAGCCCAGCGATCCAAAGGATTGGTGGGACATGATCAGTACGCCTCTCGTCGTGCCAATCGACATTGGAGAGGTAACTTGTACCAGTACTGATTTTGGAGAGAAGAAGACCAGTGTGAAGCACCAAGATCGTATGTCATCCTGGATACGCGATTGCAGTTCTCGCAGTGCTGTTTGATTCCGCTGTCATGCTTCAACTGGTCAAACCTCTCAGTAAGCCCGAACGACCTCTGTGCCACTCGAAGGCTTTTGGTTCGACGCGTGGAAAAGGTCCACACTCGGTGGAGGCGGGCCAATGGGCTTGCGTTGTTAGCTTAGTGTCTTAAATTTAGCCTCAAGGGTTTAGGGTTTATAAGGTTCAGGGTTGGTCAGGGTTTAGGGTTTAGTTTAGGCTGTAGGGTCTAGGGTCCAGAAGTTAAAGGGTTTAGGGCTTCGGGTTTAGGGATTAGGTTCTTTCTTTTTTAGGGTTGAAGGTTCAGGGTTTAGTTTAGGGTTTGGGGTTTAGTCTAGGGTTTGGGGCTTGGGGTTTGGGGTGTAAGGTTCAGGGTCTTTTTGTTTCGGGTATTCTTTTGAACGCCTTTTCCGGCTCGCAGTTAAGGTTAGCAGAATCCACTGGGTTTAGGGTCGCACCCTGCATCGTAGGTTCGTCCTAGGGTCCTAGGGTTTAAGGGTTTAGCCTTAGTGGGTTTAGAGTTCGCGCTTTCGGGACAAGGTTTAGCGTTCACGGCTTCGAGTTTGGGGTTAGGGTTCAGTCATTAAGCTTCGGGCTTGGTCAGGGTTTGGGGTTTGTGGTTTGGGTTTTGGGTTCGCAGTTCCGGGCAAAACCGCGCCCCGAGGGATCCGAAAAAGACGCCAGTTTTAGCATCAAAACGATCAACCTCAAGGGCATTACTTGTGCACCATGAAGGAGGATGGAGGGGAGGAGGCGGAAGAGGGAAGAGAAGGGAGAGGAGAGCGAGGGTTTAGGGTCGCCGAGGTAACCAAGACACTGCAGCATTTTGTAAGTAGTGGAAGGAGGGCAGAGACTGAGAAGTCACAAGCGACCCAGACTCTACCCTGTAAGCCGCCCGCCGGGGGGGGCCGGGCCGCCGGGCCGAGATGTTCAGACTTTGCGGTGACGGATCGCTGGCTGCCGCGGGCCGCTTAGACGGGGGCTCCCCGGGCCGAGACCGACGCGCCTTCTGTCACCTCTGCACTGCCCTGCGGACTGCCCTCGGGGGACCGTTACGTTACATTGCAGTCATTAGCTCTGGCCTCTACAGCACCACAGCCCAATTGTGGTAGCTCCCCGTCCTACGCTCCGAATCGCGGCCTGGAGCTGTTGTGACTGTTGTGTTTGTGTTTGCATCGGGTCGGGACGTTAACGTGCTCCAGAATCATGGCGTCATCGTCCACCAGAATCACGGCGTCAGGCGTACCTTCTGCCAGATCAGCCATGTGTATGAAGTCTTGCCGGAAGTTTGTGGGCGAGACGGCGTTGGGCCTTCGGCAACTGGAGGCCTCTCACCGGACCGGCCAGTGCAGCTCAGAGAACCACGCCTCGACTCCGTTCGCTTTTGTTGCTGTTTCCCCAGCGATCTCCGGGCGCCTTTTGTTCAGCGACTTCGAGGATTGCCGGAAGATCCCTAGCGCAGCCTGGGAGCTGCTTGGCGAAGGGGTCTGCGCAAACTTTCTCTGGACGCAGGCGGGTGGAGTGTGACAAGCATGCACTGCATGGAGCCACTCGTTTTGTCTGTGGCTCCTTTCAGAAACTCTCTCCCCTTCACCCGCCGGCCTCCGACCCTCATCTCTCTTGCCACCCCCCCCCCCACCAACAAGCCGAGGCGCTCCGCACGGAGCTCTGCCCAGGCCTCGCCCAAGACTTTGCAGCAAGAGTCCATGACCAGCTCCTGGAAAAGAAGCCCCCAACCTGCTCCCCAAATGCAGAGAAAAGGCTCGGGTCCTTCAGACGCTTCAATACGCCTCGCATAGATGGCGTCTTCGTCCTGGTTTTCCAGATAGAAGCAAAGGTCGGTTGGCTCATCTTCTGGTGACCCGCTCGAGGCCGCCATCTGCACATCCTCGGTCTCATCCGCCTCGTTCATGTGGATGTCGTACACCTTTGTGCGTTCCATTCCACGACCCTGCGTTCCCGATGTGGAGGCGTTCCGCCCTTGAAGCTCTTGAAAGAACTTTGAGCCGAGGAGCCTGATGGCTTTGATCGTCTGTTCATACTTGAGGTCGCCCGCGGATTCCACAATGACCCTCTTCTTGTCCTCCGGCGACAACTGGGAGTTTCGGAGAAGGATGTAAGCTCGGATTTCATTGATCGTCACGTTCCTTGTCAACAACTCCTCGAAGAAGGTGTCGTGCCGAGAAATGTAGCTGTCGTTTGTCTCGTCAACCCTCTGATTGGTTTGATAAATGGCCTGTTCAAAGTAGAAGTACTTTTCCTCGTCCTTGGTCTTTCCCCAGCTGCCACCCAAAGTCTCAACCAGCAGTTTAATGCCGTCTTTGCTGCGCAGCTTGGCGGGATCCAACCTGGCGATCTTCTGGAAAGCAACTCCTTCCACCTGCAAGGCGGCTCTTGGAGCCAACAGGTGCAATTGGTCCTCCGGCCATAAATCACGAAGAAAACGGAGTCGTTGAGTGTACTCGTCTACGTTGGTCGTCCCCGGCTGAAAACGAGGAATCTGTTGCCAAGGAAGATGGCTCACGCTCGCGAGTCCGCTGGACTCACCGTCTCCCGGGTTAGTCGGCATGTCTTCGGGCCTATCTGTCCTACTGTACAATGTTAGACCCTGTCTTCCTGTTTACACTATCTACCCTAGATAGTGACAGGCCGGGCTCCGCTACCAATGTGAAACCCCTAGGCCCGACCTGTCCCTAAACCGCAAAACCCTGGGCCCCTGGCCTGATGCTGATGTGTAGTTGCTTTCCGAAAGCTGAACGTCCGAATGCCGACCTCGGCCAAAATGATAAGGAACCCTGTTCCAGAAGTAGCCCTGTTGACGAACCCTTCGCTTTTGGCCTCAAGCTCAACCCTTTCCCTCCACTTCCTCAGAGAGCTGTTGAGCGGCCGCAGAGACAGGACACAGACAATTGACAAGTGAATCGGACAGAGCTGCTGATTTAACAACTAATAATAATAATAACAATAATAATAACAATAATAATAACAATAATAATCAAAATAGTAATAATCATAATCATAATCATAATAATAATAATACTTTAGAAGCTGCCCCCCACCCTGTAATAGTGACCATAAGGACTATATAGGATTATATTAGGGCCCTATTATATTCCTATTATACCACTATTACAGGGTGGGGGCAGCTTCTAAATACTAATAATAATTGATAATAATAATAATAATAATAGCAATAATACTAATAATCGTAGTCGTAATAATTGCCAACTACCACTGAATCCCAGCCACAGGCAGTCGTCGGAACCATCACGCTCCTGCGTGGCAGACGGGTCTGCTCGTCAGCAGCTGGCCCCCTCCAAACGCGCAGCCAGCTGGCCATCGGAATTGAAGATTTCAACATCGGCCAGTAAGGAGGCCTCCGAGCGCTCCTGTCACAAGGCAACGAATGCTCTCTCTTCCTCCCTCTCTCCTGTTCTACTTCTGCTTCTGCTTCTTCTTCTTCGTCTGCTTCTGCTTCTGCTTCCGCTGCTGCTTCCGCTGCTGCTTCTGCTTCTGCTTCTGCTTGTGCTTCTACTTCTGCTTGTGCTTCTGCTTCTGCTTCTTCTTCGCGGCCGCAAGCTGGAGCCGAGACGCTTCTTCAGCAAAGAAACGTCTTAGCAGCTAAGACGCTTCTCTCTCTCTCCCTCCCCTCTCTTCTTCTAGGCTTTAAGGGGCCTGCCAGGCCCCCGAGGTACTAAGGCCTGCCCGTATACTACGGGCTGTTAGAGGGGAGTGAAGTGGAGGCTGTCAAGTCATCTGAAATAAAGGTGATCTCCGCTCCTGTATATGCTTTCAGTGTGACTGCCATCCTCTACACTGCAATTTGGATCAAGTGCTTCACATTCCCCCCTGCGGCTCTGAAATCGCAACATAAATTAACACCTCTCTCTCTCCCCCTCTCCTCTCTCTCTCTCTCTCCCTCTCTCTCCCTCTCTCTCCCTCTCTCTCCTCTCTCTCTCCCTCTCTCTCTCTCTCTCTCTCTCTCTCTCTCTCTCTCTCTCTCTCTCTCTCTCTCTCTCTCTCTCTCTCTCCCCTCTCTCTCTCTCTCTCTCTCTCTCTCTCTCTCTCTCTCTCTCTCTCTCTCTCTCTCTCTCTCTCTCTCTCTCTCTCTCTCTCTCTCTCTCTCTCTCTCTCTCTCTCTCTCTCTCTCTTCTTCAGCAGGGCATGAAAGGCATGCGAGGCCTTTCGGCCTCATGGGCCCCCCATATCTCTCTCTCTCTCGCTTCCATGAGATGCACTGCATGTCCTGGACACGGACAGCAGCCCAGAGGTCCCCCGAAGTGCATTGCGCCGCGATCGTTGTCCGGCGCACGGCAAAGGGAAGGTACGTGGATTTCTCTCCGCGGGCGGCCAGCTCTACGAGCAGCGCCCCGTCGAGCTGTGCAGGATGCAGTAACTGCAGGGATTTCTCCCAGGAGGCGCACTCCACCTTGCATGGATCCTGCAATCGAGCAAGAGCTCCAAGCTCGGTGAAGCACGCTGTGCTGGTCAACGTCTGAAAAGAAACTCCGTAGCTCAAGCCTCGCTCCGTGAAGGAGGAGTAGAGCTGATTCACATCCTGTTCGGGTTGTTTGTCCGCCTCACACAGTTTGCGCCAGCTTTCAAGCCTGTCTGGCTGGCGGTCCAGGAAAGGTACGAGATGAGCAGTCCCAAATCGCGCGTGTATCGTTGTTTCAGTTGCAACACCATCCTCCACCTGGACACTGGCCTCTTCCGTGCTCTCCGAAGATGCCACGCATCGAACACGCATCTTGCCCTTGTCAGAAATGACAAACGGCACTTGGAAAATTGCATCGGCGAGCTCGACAGCTGCAACGTTCTGTCCAGCGCCCTCTGCGAGCCGCAGATGCGAGGCAGCAGCGAGGAGCAAGTGGCTAGCTCCAGGACAACCCGCTCAAAGACACCTGGCACATTCAGCAGAAGCGAACCCTGCCTCCCTAGGAGAACGACAAAAGGAGCCGTTGAGGGAGGTCCAAGGCAAGACATGTTGAAGTAAGAGCAACTTCTTCTCTGAGTCCTCTTTAGGATGCGATTTTCAAACCAACCAACTTCTTCGGCAAGCCACAATGCTGCTGAAAGAGCTGCATGGCTTGGCTGTTGATGTCTGCGGCCATCTCACTGGTTTCGAAGGTGGAGACTCCGTTAGCCTCTCCCAACTTCTTGCCCAGCCTGAGCTGACCCGGCAAGTCTCGCTCCTTCGTAGAACATAAGCTATGTCAAGACCTAGAAATTGGACTTAACGCAACAACAGACCTTGAGACTCACATTCCATACCTAGAACTCAGAAGTAAAACCTTAAGAAACCCCCTCCATTCCTAGAAATCAGAAGTAGCTTAAGTTTAAGCCTTCAGACTCACATTCCCTTCCTAGAACTCCTAGAACTCAGAAGTGGGAGTTTCCGAAAATAGGGGACCTTGATATAGTACCCTATATAGTAGGATCCTTATTATAAGGACCCCCAAATAAGCCCCTAAGTCTCGGAAACTCCCAAGCAGATGACCGAGCAGCAGCGGATGGAGCAGCGGTGCACGCCAGGGCAAGGCCTCCGGCACCAGCTCCGAGGACCTCTCGAAGGCCACGCCGAGGGCCTTCGTGACAGTTTTGGGTTCAGCCTTTTTTGTTTAGACGCTCCTTTTTGTTGGGTTCAGGGTTTAAGCTTTTTTTTTTTAAGCGCCGTTTAGGGTTTAAGGTTTACGGACTTACCCATGCGCTTCAACACGTGCATCCTGCAGGCGCACTGCCAGCCGCCGGATCCTGAAACTGCCTGAATGAGAATCCAGGGAAACCAGGAGCTCACATCGATATTTTACTTCCGTTCTCTATGGCTGCTATAAAACGGATTCTTGAAATGAGGGGTGCGTCGGCCCGTAGAGTGAAACATGTTCAGGAAAGTCGCATCCGCGGAAGCCATGCCACGGTCTCGTGCAACAGTGGAATCTTGAGCCGCTCGGCATAGCCAGCTAGATTCAGAGTCGGGTCTGAGGATTGGGGTTTCGGGTATGGTTTGGTTGTCAGGTTCAGGGCACACTAGTTCCTGGCAATGCAAGAGTTTCACTGAAAATGCGGAGATGCTACATCTGACTCGTCTGCCTGTCGTTGGGCATTGACTAGCATCCCAGGCTGAATCCTGAACACTCTAACCTCCTCAAGCCGATCCAGCTTTCCGGAAAAGTAGAGACTTGCTACGGCCCTGTGAGGGCCACGGAAATGGATTCCTGGACCTTGAATAATGGGATTCCTGGAAGGGGCTTACAGTTTTAGGGCAAACCTTGGATGGATGGGTTCGTCTTCGTACATGTGGAGTGCAGAGCGCACGCGAGATAAATACATGGCGCATATCTGCTCTTTCGAAGCAGAAAGCCATCGAATGCAGCGGGAGACATGAAGGGATCCACGCTGGCCTAATTTTGTGGGCAGTGTGGGACTGGATGGCAGACTTGCGCAGGGCGAGTTGGACACCAACTCGAAGATAAGCTGTGCAAGAGAGAACCCGTCAACAGATGATGCCTTAAATTCAACATCACACCAATCGTTGGACATGAAGCTCGGCCTGCACATGATTCTACCGTGAGAGAATGCACCTAAACAGAACTTGCTTAAGTTCATATGCTGTGCTGTGCTCCTCAGCGCTGCTGGGACCGTGCAGCCCGCTCCCTCTCCTTCTCCTGCTGCTTCCGCCAGGCCACCGCCTGCTTCCAGGCCTTCTCCACCTGCTTCGGCGAGATGTCCTTCGGGCGGAACCTCATGTTCCTATACTTGCTGGCCACATTGCAAGTTGCATGCCAGGCCTGCTCACCAAAGTTCCACTTGATGCCCTTCTGTGGCCCGAGCGGCTCGAAGTACGGGAGCTCCGAGAGCAGCTTCACCGGCACCACTCCGCCCTCGCATTCCACCCCGAACTCCTTGGCCAGCTCCCGGGCCCTGGCTTCGGCCTCCTCCTTCACCTTGAAATTGCCGCCGTAGATGCGTTTCTTGGTGGACGGATTGGAGAGCTCCACCTGATAGCATCCAGACATTTTTTTGTACTTGACTCCCCTCACCATGGAGCCGCCAAGCTTCCCTGTCCTGGGCTTCGGCGGCTTCAGCTTGCCCAGGCGCACGAGCTCCTCGCGGAAAGCCTTGGCCTCCTCGAGAGCCGCCTGCTCGGCCTCGGCCTCCGTGAGGCCGAGCTTCAGGTGCTTGGAGATAGGGAACTGACGCTGCTGATTCGGTTTGCTGGGAGCTGACCATTGGACTCTCCAGCAGGCCTTCGCTCTGTGCCAGCAAATTCCCTGGATGCCGCTCTGGCGCTCCAGGCCACGGAAGCTCCTTGTGACGACTTGTTCGCCCTCAGCTCTTGGCTCCGCCTGGCTCGTCGACTCCAAGGGCTTCTGCTCGCCAGGGTCAGGGACGGAGCCCACGGACTCGAAGATCTCGAGGCCCTGCATGGCGGACCCCCCTCCAGTCGGGGAGAGCTTCATCATGCCGTCCTCCATCAGCAGCCAGCCGTTGCCGGCCCAAGCTCGAGTCGGAAGGTCACGCATCCAAGGCCACATCTTCATGCACTCAGCCGCTCGGTGCTGATTGCCG